CCTTTTTGCCCCTCCCCCCAAAAAAGAATTAATAAATTAAAAAATAAAATAAAATGAAAATAAAAATAAAATAAAAATAAGCTCAAAGCTGCGCTCGAAGAGGTCTGCAAAGCTGTAACAGGAGCTCATGTGGTGGAGAGATTAAGATGTTCACCTCTCATTTTATAGGTCTTGGGTTCGAATCTGGACAGCGACGGACCATTTTCTTCTCCAGACTTTTTCTCCTTCCACTTCTTTTCCTGCTCTCTAGCAATGTTCTGTCGTCTGCTTTCCTCTCCACTTTCTGCCCCCCATCCCTTCACCCCTCTGCCCCCTCCTCTGGGCCCCTGATTCTTTCTGCAGCCTTTCTACTGCTACTCCTTGACTCCTTCTTACTGTTGTCTATCAACAACACACTTGATCTTATGGTAGGTAAGAGCTACATCTAGCCTTCTCGGATAAGGGCGAAAAATGTCGGAGGTCCAGTGTGTTCAAGTTGTGCACGTTGAAGATCTCTCGGTTGTCCAAAATCGATAAGAGTAGGCTTCGGCAGCCGCCCGGGTAAAGTTCAAAATGTCCTACCTAGTGAAAATGTTTAATGTGTCCCGTGCGCTCATATGACCTTATGCAGTTGCGAGCGCCGTAAAACTGTTACAAAAACAAAACAAAACAAAACAAAAACAAAGGAAAAAGAAAAGCTACGACACAGCGCACAGAGTTGTACATGGGGCCAATGACCGAGTTTCTCGGTGACCTAGCTCAGTCAACGGTTTCACGTTTCCCTCTTTTGATGGGCAGGCATTGGGGAGACTGTGTAACGAACACCCCCCCCCCCCATTCATAAACAGCGGCTGAGTGTACCTATGCAGGAAAGGTGTAAAGGTGGCCTTTTGTGGCAGGGGCAAGGTGGGGGAGATCTGAAGGTGTCTGTCAATGCCCGGTGTGGTCCGTGGCAAAATACTGCCTGGACCGATCCCTCAGATCTCATGGAGCTGGGAAAGGTTGCGCTCCTCCCCGGTAAACATTGTTAAAGATATAAGAAACTTTAACTCATTAACGACGCACATTATTCTGGTCACTGGACAACGCTTCAAGTTTCAAGTTGAAGACGCGCTGTGTCGGGGTGCTTTGAAAGAATCATACTCCGTTATTGTAACATAATAATATTATTCTCAATTCTGTTTTCTGTATCTAAACTTTATAAAGGCAAGCACGTAACTGCATGCATACTATGAACTAGATCTACGCACATAATTTGTGTCTCTGATTTGTGTATGATGGTTCGAAATGTGTGAAGCAACGTTGTCTTTGCTTAGCTACTGATCAAGTAGGCCCTATAACATAATATGTCTGGAAAGAGTTAAAAGTTAAAAGACTTGGATAGGTTACCTGTTGTGTGTTTGGCTATCTGAGCAATACATTCATGATGTGTTTGTGTCTCTTGCTTTCCTCAGATCATTCGGTGACATTCTCCTTCCCCCCAACCCGCACGCTCTTCTCCCTTCCTCGTTCTGCTCCTCCTCTTCCTCCTCCCGTCAATGAGGTGGTTTGCGTCACATGAGTTTGCCTCCTGAGAACGGTATTAAAGAGGCTGTGATTTGGATACGCGAGCCATTTCTTGTCGTGCTGGGTGAGCCGGCTTGTGATGACGCCAGGGACTCACAGGGGGTTCCCAGCCAAGACGATAGACGAGAACGGCGCTGAAAGTAATGGCCTGGTTTCCTCTCGGTATCACGTGACGAACGGCGCAGACAGCAACGACGCGAGCGTCAAAGACCAGGAGGAGGCGGCAAAGTTATCTGGTGGTGTTGGGACCGCCGAGGCTGAGGAGACGGCGTTCATGAAGGAGAAGATGAAGAAGGAAGCTGGAGGCTTCTGGGCCACGCTAAGGCAGAACATCGCACTCACGGGCAGTAACAGTTTTGCCCTGTTTGTGTTGGTGAGTCCGACTGTCTCTAGGAAAGCTTGTTTGGGTTTGTGTCTTTTTTTTTCTTCTTCATTAGTTCCAGATTGTTTGTTGTTGGTTTGTTGAGGGTTGTTGTTGTTTTTTTTTGTGTGTTGTTTTTTGTTGTTGTTGTTTTTTGTGTGTGTGTTGTTGTTGTTGTTGTTGTTGTTTTGTGTTTGTTTTGTGTTGGGTTTTTTTTGGTTGTTTTTTTTTTTTGGGGGGGGGGGTAATATGTATTTTTATTCTGCTTTGTTTTGATCCAACGTTGTTATTTAAGTTGGTCGCTTTTAAGCACAAGGGGGCTATCCCGAAACTGCTGTTTTGAGAAAATCGAAGGAAAAGTTTTTCCCCCTTATTCAGTTTCTTTAAAAGACAAGGAGAGTTTTCGCTATAACCAAACGAATATATATACACACCAATGAAACCAAACTTCTCCTATAGATAGGGCAATGCCCACTTTCGGTGTAGGTCAAGACTTCTGGAAACCCCCGAAACATGGGTTAGCCCGCTAGTCCTTAAAAGCGACCAGTTTATTTGGGGACTTTTTTCCAATGTTTTATAATAAGGGAGGGGAGGGAGAGGCAGTGATTCAGTGTATCTGTAGGTTACTCTTTTTTTCTTTATCTGTGGCATTTCTGTCCCTCTCGTGGGTGATTGACGGGCGCAATGGTGTGGTTTACTTCTTTCATATCAAGCATTCATTGTCCTTAAATATCTCCTCCTCCTTCTTTTCTTTGCTTGTTACTCTCTGATTACACTTCTAATCTTAGGCTGTTATATGACGCATTTTTATTGCAAGTGCCGTAAAACTCGTACAAAAACAAAAACTGTCTATCTGTCTGACTTTCTCCTTTAGCTCAATGGTCTATTGTTATGGTCATGTGTTTTGCCTTACACAGACGCTGAAATAAGATACGAGATTGGGGTGACTTGGTGGGTGGTTGGCGGATGCTCTAGTGTGGTTTGCTTCTTCTTTCATATCAAACATCAATCGTCTTTTTTATCTCCCCTACTTCTTTTGTGTGTTTGTAACTCTCTTGTAACTCCTCCTATCTTCGGCACTTATATGACCTAATTATGTTGCAAGTGCCGTGAAACTCTTACTAATACAAAGGGGTGATTTGTTAAAGTAGTGAGGGAGAAGAGAAGGGGTCGTCCATGAGAGAACAGTGCGGTATGTCAAATCTGTTTGCTCGCGGGCATCCCTTTTGTTGTGTACAGTCAGACTAGATCTACGAAATCCCATCAAACCTATCGTATCTATAATTAATTTAACTGAGTTTATATCGCATGAAGCATTTATTTCTACTCAGTTTGGTGTTTATTGTTTGTGTGCGTGCCTGGTGGAAGGTACCGTATTATGACACGTCTTGAGGATGTGCGTTTTATGGTGTAGAAATCATATCTGAACAACTTGATTCTTGAATTATTAAAATAGCCTATAGTTCTTTGTGAGATCTGGTTAATGTTGTCAGGTAGGGTGCAGAAACAAATCTATGAGAAAAATGGCTTTAAAGTTTCCTTTAGATCTGTCTCGAGTTCTACTCCTATTGAATATCGACCAATCGGTCAGCCTGGTTGTTTGTCTCTGAAACATTTCGCAATAGACTGTCACTACGCAAAGTGCGACTTAAAAAGCAGTTTAAGGCAATTACACAGTTTTAAAGTGTCATTGAAACATTACCAAGCTAAGCCACGGTCAATTAGAAGTAAAATTGTTACCAAATTGGCTCGGCTTTGCTCACGAAGTGTAAGAGGGTACGTGTGTATGCTAGAAGCTTTAAAACACGACTCGAAAGGATACAAGCTTACCTCAGTTTTAATATGTGATGTCAAGGAGTTGATTTTTATGAATGAGCCGTATAAATCTTCGTCAACGACAATGCTAGAAATTTCGAAGAGTGGATTTGTGGCTTTGTTTTGCTCATGGAGTGAAAAAGGGAACAAATCAATGTGCATTACCTGCCAACCCTTACTGTTTTGTTCCAACTTTCCAGATTGATAGAAGTAACAGGTTGACCTGAAGTTTGGCATGCGATGTGATGGAGTTTGTTTATGTGAATGAGCCGTAGGCCTTTCATGCAATCTCCGTTATTACGTAAGATTACTCGTGTTTAACAAAAAATATATTCTTCCAAAATACACGTTTTTGCTTTGTAATAAATGCTCAGCCTTGTAAACATCGGAAGACGAAAGGCTAAAGATTGAGTTTTTAAAGAGCTCAAATTTTTGTATTAAAAAGATGATTTATGACCTTTATTGTCCGTATCTCAGTTCAAGAAAGTGCGTCTTACGGTATCTTTCACCAAGCGCGCACACATTTTAAACAAAAATAGGTTGAAGAGGTGCTGAGTCATAGGGAACTTCATGATGACTATGAACATTTGGATGACAAAGTTGGTGCAAAGGTAAAAATAGTCTTTCTGTGTACTAAGATACAGACCGAAGGGCTAGAACCCAAATGGCCGCTGGATCGGGAAAGTAAAAGTAAAAGTAAAGTAAGTGTACTAAGATTTGATCCGTAGAATAATTATGAAGGTAAAATACTATGCCACATAAAATTACGTAGCCAGTTTTGTGTTCCAGTTTTTCAGCAACACAAATTTCGCTGTACCCCCGCTCTTGTTTAACCTATTTGCATAAATAAATACCACTCGGAGTAGAAATGAATGTTCCATGCAAGAAACGTTCAGTTTGATTATTTATAACTAACACGGATTGGCTGGAGTTTGGTGGATCTTTGTTTGACCGAAAACAACCGCGAGGTGCCGAGGGTCAACTCGGAACTGGAACGCTGTATGCTAATAAAACCGAGTGCCCTTTGAGGATGGGATCGGATCGGATCAGGTCGGGTCGGGTCGGGTTGGGTCGGGTCGGGTCGGGTTGAGTTGGGTCGATCGCCCGACTCTTCACCTGAAAACAAACATGTTAGCTTTTGAGGTGACGAGTTGGGTGTGATCGGCTTGTGCCACGATAGCGGCTTTGCGCCTTCAATCTGGCTGTCAAACCGACCCGACCCGACCCGACCCGACCCGATCCCCCCATGGGCACCCCGTCTAAGAGTCAAGGAAGGAGAGAGGAAATGATCTACTACTTTTCCATCGGATCTAGACTTCCTTGAATATACTCCAAGGAAATGGTTGGGTGTGTCTTACTTTTTTGTTACAGGTGTGATAGTTTTATGGTGTAAAATAAAACGTATAGAGTTAACGCTTCT